AAAAAAATTAAAAAGTAAAAAAAAAAAAAGACAGAGGTAAGGAAGAGAAGCTGCTGTAGGAAAGAAGGGAGGGTCTTTAAGGCAGGAGAGGGGTGGAGTGGAAAAACTGTTCATAAAGTCCGAATCTCTTGTTATTTTTCAGTCAAGAAATACAAATTTACCTGTCTTTACTGTGGATCGTTCTGGTAAAAGAAGCCCTAAGGCGTGAAGGAAACTTTGGAATTTTGCTTTAGCGATGTAACGTCGAATCAACTTAGTTTACTACAGAAATGTCTTCAGTCTTTTTCATCGTTTGGTTGGCAACTGCTTACGACCTGTTCAGTACTTTGAATTGAACAGAAAATGAAAAAAAAAAACAACACTATGGCTGCTATTGCTACTGCCTTTGGTGCTGCATCACAACAGTGCCATTTGTGTTAAGATTAACAAATTATTAGAAGTCCTTTTTTTTTTTTTAAACTTTAAACCTTTTTTTAAATTCATTCTTTCAACTTTGACGTTTACTTTCGTTTTCTTTCAGTACACTTTTCTGTAGCGTCTTACACTTACTATGAGTCTTGTTTCTATACAATTCTAAATAGATGTAGGTTATTTTGATGATTTTGATACAAAAAATTGAAACTCTTACAAAATTTTTGACATATTATTCAATATTTAATTGTTGTATATTTATGCCACTTATACGGTTTACCTTCTCAGGTTTTTGCAGACAGCCTACTTCACTTCTTTCTGATCCTATATATGAATTGGTTTTTATAAATTTTTATTGAAAATTTATTTTATGATTTTTGATAGCTTTTATAAAAATAAGCAGTAAAACACTTTCATTTGATAACATTTGTTTTCTCGTTTACTTTTAATTCTTAAAAATATTACTGGCATGGAAAAAAACCGATAACTGCTTTTAATTATCTGTTTAAAGATATTTTCTTTTTGTAGTTATCATTAATAAACGTCTTCGCATTACTGAAAAGTTTTAAAAAATTATTAAATATTCAACTAAAGAATAATTACGTTTAGTGTAAATAAAAATTTTAAACAAGCTTTACTTTTTTTAATTTGTAATGATTATAGGTTTTCTTTTTTTCTTTCAAGCTAAAAAATAGACCTTATTTTTACTTGAAAGCAGTAACGATCAGAGTTATCTATCATGACTTTGCACATAAAAGCCGAATGAAACGAAAAATGAGGAGAAAATAATTTATGCCAAAATATATTTAGGTTATTAGTGCCAATTATCAGCATGAAGCAATTACTTCTGCTAATCCTCATCGTCGCTGTCATCTTCGAGTTTTCGTCGGCTGAGGCTCCAATCAGAGCGTAAGTCATTTCCTTTACCGTTTTGTTAGGAAAACAGTGATTAAGGGAGGGACTATGGAGAATAAGGACAAGAAAAAAGTCAATTTGTAACAAAGAAGAAGTTAAGTTCAGAAGTTTGGAATGAAAAATTATTTACATCACTACTTTGTTTCAACTCTTAGTTTTAATATAACTAAATATTTTACAGCTTTAAAACGTTCATCTTTTTTTGTTCACTTTAAATATCAGACTGAGCATAAATTCGTTTTAGAAGCCGTGTTAAACGATACTATGGCATGATGGGCGGTATGGGCTACGGAATGGGAATGGGAATGCATCCACCACCACCACCACCACCACCACATGGATTTGGTGGATATGGAATGGGAATGGGAATGGGAATGCCGTACGGAATGTTTGGCTAAACCGTTGAGACCTTCGTTTCTGCATCAGTGTTTTTCCCTTCTCCAATAATGATCATCAACATATATTTTTCTCAATGGCTTTACTACTTATGTTTGCTTATAAACAAATAAGCATATAAACCATAAGATCAAATTACTGTGCATTGTTTTAGTGTATTTAACGCTCAATTCAGCAAGGAAGAACGGTGAACAAATGATTTTCTTTGTACTGCTTTTCTCTGCTTTTTTTCTTTATTTTTATTTTTTTTTTTCTGAAAACACTCAACATTTTTTGTCAGATGGCAGTATACTGATAAAATATAAATTTATATTAGCCTAAATACTGTTACTGTTTATCTGAACTAAAAGTACCAATACGAATAAAAAATACCCAGAGCACTGTCTTCAAAACATCTTTGTATAGAGAAGTAAATTGAACTACAGATATTAATGCCTGCAATCTTAGGTTTATCAGAAAATCTAATGGTTTTTAATACATATTGTAAAAAAAAATGAAATTTGATCGAGTTTTGTTGTTTGTTAAACATTAGCCTTAAATAAATAACTTTTTAATAACTTTAATCTGCAAAATGGCGTAAAATAATGTTTCTTCAATAAACAGTAT